GCGCCCGCCAGTCCGCGGGGTTGGCAGAAGCCCGGTCGGCCCACGACAAACCTCAAACCCGCCCCGCGTAGCTGCCTCGCTCTGACTAGCCCGCCCCGCCAGACTTCGGCTCCGCCCTGCCCAGAGCCGACCAATCAGAGTCTGCCACTGGAAACCCGCCCACCGGGCCTAGCCAATCAGCGGCTGTTGCTGGGCAGAAGCCCAAGCTTCGCGGGCTCCCTACGCCTCTGCCCGCCCCCTCCCGTTCCGGCCCAAGGGTGCTGACCGGGGTGAGCAGCTCTGGAGTGGAGATGGGGGAGCAGTCCCCGTTGAGTTTGATGCCGCTGCCCAGGTCGAAGTCGCAGATCTTCACGGGGGACACCTGGGGTCAGGGGGACGGAGGACGGGAGAGAAGTGGGTGAGGGTTGGTCCTGCGGGGGCGGGGCTTTCCCATGCGGTTGGGGAGCCTCCTCACCACGCCCCTCACCTGGTTGGGGTGCTCACAAAGGATGTTCTCTGGCTTGAGGTCCCGGTGTGCGATGCCTGTGGGGCAGAGGCCAGGGCAGGGTTACTGGTGGTGGCAGGGGCAACGGGGCCGCCCATTGGGGGGCAGCAGGCAGGGGACCCACCTTTGTTGTGTAGGAAGTCCAGGGCACTGGCCACGTCCTGCACCACCACACTGGCCTCCAGCTCGTTGAAGTGGCGGCGCTGATGGATGTGGCTCAGGATGGAGCCTGGTGGTGGAGGGGGCACTTGAAGGTCACCCACATGCACCCACTTCCACCCACCCTCCTATTAGGACCCAGCTGGTAACACCGCCCCCTGCTGCCTAGGCCCCAGCTGGCACCTCCTCGCATTTTCTCAAACACCAGGTAGAAGCGATCCTCTTCCTCAAAGAACTCAATCAGCTCCAGAACATTCCTGGGAGTGGGGGGGGGAGACACGCAGGAGAGAAGCTGTGGCTTCCCCCACAGGAAGGCTTACACACAAACCCACCCCGCAGAGGGAGCCAAACACACTGTACTGGGGTCGGCACACAGGACAGAACCAACCACCACCAGTCAACCCCGACTGATGGCGACCTCCTGGAGGCAGAGGGAACCACCCCACGTGCTCAAAGAGCTGTGGCCTTAAAGGAGCAGGTGGATGGGATGCTGCATGCATCCTGACCGGCCCACTTTGTGCTCAGCAGCCCAGCGCCTTAACCACTGCGCCACCAGGTCACTCCATTCCACTGGTGGTGGGGGGGCCCTACCTGTGCCCCTGGCACTGGTACAGCGTCTCCACCTCCCGGAACACTCTGCCCCGAGTGTGCCCGGGCTGCTTCTCGATGATCTGAAATGATGGGGGTGGGGTCAAGTCAGTTGAAGCGTCCACAGCTGAGTCCCTCTTGCCGTGCCTGAAATGTTGCCCTGCCAGCTGTGGCTTCCCATCTCACCAAGCAGAGCTGGGTGACTGGGCAGTCAGCATGGGCGGGGTTGACAGTGGGGGTGGGGAAGAGAGTAGGCTTCAGAAACAGGTAGGGCTTATCCTGTGGGACTGTGCAGTAGGGATCTGTGCTGTGGGCTATCTCCTGCTGGGGCCCTCCCCTCCCCCAGCGGGGCACGGGGCAGTGAGGGCCAGTGTGGTCAAATGCTGCTGGCCTCAGGACAGCACTGCTGGCCAACCTGTACCAGGGCCCACACAGTTGGAGAGGGATCACCACCTGGGCCTGAGCCTTTGGAATCAATTGCCCACCCACCAGGAAACAAGAGTCCTGAGAGGGGGGTGGGGTGCATGCCCAACATGGTCTCCCCTCTTCAGGTTCTAATGAAGTTAGGGAATGGGGTGCTTAAGGAATGGGCAAGCTTAAGGAGGCCCCCTCTGACACCAGCCCCTAAGTCCACAAGTGAGCCCTGTCACACACCGTGTTCAGTTCCCTCACGCCCACCTGGCCCCCACATGCCTCTCCCAGCACCCCCTCCTCCCAGAGCCCACATGACATGGCCTGGGAGAGTGAACCCCACTGAGCCTGGTTTGGGGCTTGAGCTGCCTGGAAGGTGAGTTTGGGGTGGGGGGTGTCATGGTTAGGGGTTCCCCTCCCTGAGGTGAGGCCAACACCTCCCTCACTAGTTGCCATAGATCCAAAGGTGCCCCAGACACGGACGGATTTCTCTCTCTCACACACACACACCACCACACACACCCATCCCCACTGGTCAGGGTGGATCTGCCACTGGGGTGTGGCTTGGCTGGGATCCCACCAGGGGCCCAGGCCAGCCTCATGACCCAGCCAGCCGGCTGGCCAGCCTCTCTCAGCAGTCAGACCTGCTGTTCACCAAGGTCACCAGGCTGTGTGGCTCAGCCTGCTGGGCCACGCCCTGGGTTCCCAACTCGGAGCTCCCAAGCTTTATAGTCCCCCCTACCCCTGGGTCTTGTAGCCCTGCCCTCGGGGACAGGGCTTGGCCAGCGCTAGCCCAGTGGCAGCTCTGACTGCGAGTCTGAGTGCTCACCTTCACAGCATACTCCTGGTTGGTGATGAGGCTGATGCAGGTCTGCACGCGGGCATGCGCCCCCTCCCCCAGCACATCCTCCTGCAGCTGGTACACATCTGGGGCAGGGGCAGGGAGGAGTGAGGGCTGCCACTGGCTGCCTGGCCCATCCAACACCCACCCCACGCCCCTCACCTTCAAATCGCCCTGAGAAGCTGTCGGCGGCCCGGCACCTCTTCTTCTTCTTGCCGCGCTTCTTGGCGTCTGGGATGTCAATGGGCTGGCTTGCTGGCATGTCTGTCCAAGATGTGAGCAGCCCGTGTTCAAGGACCCACCTCTGCCTACCCCTCACCACCTGTCCCTGCCCTTCCTGGCCCACTCCTCCTCACCGGGGCGGGCTGGGCACTCCAGGCCAAAGTCAGCGTCCCCGTCCCCGAGGTGGGCCTGGTCTAGAGCAAAGGCCAGCTCGAAAGGATTCGGCCCCTGTAGGGAAGGGGGACACAGGCTCAGGCCCAGTCCTGCCAGGCATGTACCTCCTTGCTCAGGAAGCCACAGCGGGTTTTCCGGCCGCCTGTCCGGTGACCGCAGTGGCTCTGACCAGGGTGGCGGTGGAGGCACAGGGTGTGTATGCACAGGGCCTAGGGCGGCCTCACCACAGAGAGCAGGAGGTCCCAAACAATTGGAGGTTCAAATGCACCTCAGAAAGAAGACCTGGTGATGGACATCTGGAACCCACCCCACCCCATTCTGCAGTGTCCAGTGCCACCCCAAAGGCATATCCCCTGGGGGCTGTTTGTGCATGTGGTGTCACCCCTGGGGGCTGTTTGTGCATGTGGTGTCACTTGGGGCCTGGGTCTCGGCCCCTGGGGTTGTGGGCAGCCTGCCCACCCCATCTAGATTGCTGACCTCGCCATCAAAGGTGGTGGGGGAGGTGACTCATGGGTGTCTGAGGGCTGACTCTGAGCTAGCCTTGCCACTTTCCCACGGGCGAGTGCCTGGCCCATCTCAGAGCAGCTGGCCCCACCCCTGTGACCGGGGCAAGGTCCCGAGTCGGCCTGGGACTCAGCTCCCTCCTTCACCGTCCCTGCAGGAAGCTGCTAGAAGCCAAGACCCAGCTTTGTCCCAGCGTGCACCTGTGTGGGAGCCCTGCTCCCAGCATGGGCACCAGTTCCACATCCAGACCCCCACCCACTCAAGGAGCAGCTTGGCTGACACAGCCCTTCCACCCCCTGCCCCAGGTCTCCCAGCCCCCCAGCATGTGCTTTGGGGGAAGGGAGTTCGGGCAGCCTTCTAGCCTCTAAACTGAAGGACCCTTTGAATGAGGCCCACTCTGCTGACCGGTGCAGAGGGAGGCCCAGACAGCTTCCTGAGTCACAAAGTGCTGTGGGCCTCTGGGTGCAGTGGGGTGAGGGTGGGAGCTGGGGGCCTCTCTCGGGGTGGGGGGGGGGCCACCAGCAGGGAGGAGTTGTTCTTCCAGTCCTGGATCCCAGGTGGAGGGCCCCAGGGGACAGAGCAGTAGACCAGAAGTCTTTGCAGCCGGCCGGGAGGGCTCCCATCACTTTGTCCCCCCACAGACGGGAGACCAAGCAGGAAGCCTCCAGAGGGGCTGCGCTGCCCAGCCCCAGCCCCCTGAGTTCAATCCTCACAGGTCAGGCCCACACAGACTGACCAGGCCAGTCTGATGTCTGACTCCAGGGAGGAGGCCTGGCTGCAAAACCAGAAGACCATGGGGAGGGAGGGGGCTGCAGCTGTGGGTTACCCTGGCCTGCCCCCAGTCCGACTGCCGGATCCCCACTTCCTGATCCAAGGGACGGCTGTGCTGGTGGCAGGGCCTCCAGTAGGGCCTGCTCAGTATCTCCCACAAGGGGGACACTGGGCACACGGCCAGTGGCCTTGGGCTACTGTAAAGCAGTCACAGGACATGTGAGTCGAGTCCTCTGTGCACTGAGGCACTTTGTGACATGGGGCAGGGGTCCTCCTGCAGGGGTCGCACCTCCGGGTGGCAGTGGCAGGCCCAAGGTATTGGGAGCCCCACCCTGGCCTGGGGGCAGCTCAGTCGACAAGCCTCCACAGGAGGTAGCTGGAACCATCCGGAAGTGGTTTGCTTTGGCATAGGTGCTGGCCCTGCACCCCCTCTCTGCTCCAGCCCAAGCCCAGCAGGCCACCAGTGGGGGGTGACAGCTGGGCAGGGGTGATGTGGGGTGGCCGGCCACAGGGCACCGGGCCTGGGAACGTGGCTGACTCCTCCCCTCGGGTGGGAGGAGTAGGTACAAACACACACACACACACACACAAACACACACACATTCTCAGACAAGCAGCCCGGCCCCTGCCCGCGGTCCACCGGGCAGCAGGTCCCTGCCCAACCAGGCCATTACATAACCGCCTGCACGGGTGGGGCAGGACTGACATCATGTGTCCCCTGGGCCAGCCCCTCGGGGGCCCCTGCCCGGCACCTGCCCTACCCCCAGACCGATCGTCTGCCACCAGCAGACACAGTCGCCTGGGAAACTTCCCGCCCCGACAGGAAATGGCACTCAGGCACGGGGCAGCAGACTCCACAGCGAGCAGGCTGGGGGTTCCCCGAAGGGCGGACCCCCGGCAGGCCAGCGCACACCAAGTCGCACACAAGCCGGGGCTTGCAGGGGGCACAGGCCGAGGCCCCAGGGACCCCCACCTGGGACTTGCAAGGAGACATCAGGCCCAGCCTGGGTGCCAGGGAGGTGGGGAAGGGGCACGCGTGGCTGGGACTTGCAGGGGGCACCAGCTAGGGGTCTCCACCGCCTGCAGTCCGTCTGTGTAGGGAGAACCTCTTGGGCCCACAGGCGCACGACCGACGGGAGCTTGCAGGGGGCACCTGCACCGGAGTTCCGGGGCCGGGGAGCGCCAGCTGGCCACCTCCAGCTCAGGCCCGGCTCTTGCGGGGTTCGCTCGGCGGCCGCCCCCACCGCACCGCGCGGCCCTCACCTTGAACGGGCGGTGGAAGCCGTCCGGCTCGCCGATTTTCTTCTGCACCATCTTCCGTCCGGGCCCCGCCAGCGGGGGAGGGGGCGCAGGGCC